ATTTGCGCTCGGTCTAGAATGCTTGGCTCTGCAACCTTGGCTAATAATATACTATTATATAATTTGGAATGTTGAAGGAAATTTATCACACATCAACTAAGTCTGTTTTTAGTTTTAAAATTTTGTTACTATGGTTTCACCTAGGCAGAAATTTTATAATCTTTAATAAATAGTTAATAATAATAATTAGTGATTACTTACTGTTCGCTAGTTAGACAACAAGTAATTCACGTACTGCCTTGGAAGCACACCCAGTATATGATCAAAAATGCAATGCTCGTACACGAAAAAATATTTTTCTTGTATGTAATAATAATGCTAAGTTTAAAATACAGAAATGTTTAATATTTTTATGACGTGTATTCCATTTATACTTTCTGTATTATTGTGTCATTATTGTTATCATTTTTACATATCTCCATTATTTATTTTTTTTTGTAACGCCAATAATAACGATATCAAACAGTCACCAGTTGTGACGTAAAGTTATTCTTTTATAAAGCAGCTAGTTTTTGCTTTTGTCAAGCATTAAGTTATTTTACAGTCTTTATTATTTTTTGAAAGCGTATATTTTACTTCTGGATCATTATTATTATTATTTTGTATGTTATATATCGTATTTTTAAAAGTCATTTTTCAGTGGTTTGCTTTTTACGTAGTGTTTTTTATTTCTCTAGGACTTTTTCAATTCTTATAAATTATTTCTTAATTAATGGGAGGTAGGTACATTTAATATAAATAAATCTATCGTGCATATGTATTAATTACCGTGCATTTAATTTGTGGTTTTTAAAACCAATAATACCCGATAGATTCAGTTCAAGATTCAAAGAAATCTTACCTCTCGGTTTTGTCTCAATTTTATTTGAAGCTCATCACTGTTTTAACCGCAGATTTCTGAACTGTGAACATATTGATCTTTACTATCAAAATGCGATAAATATTTTATATTTCACTTAATCATTACGTGCTGTCGATACCTTGGGGACGAAATGTATTACGTGGGCCATAATGCTCAGGGGCGTTTTTTAATATTTATAACAAAGAAAACAAATGACAACCATTTTTGGAAAAGAAATCAAAATTAGGAAACAACATTTTGACATTTAATTTGGAATCTGAAAAACTGAATGCTTTGAAATCGTTCAGATGGTTTACAGTCATGATAAGCATGATAAGTTTTTATTCAAAATATTGCCGAATAAATCGTATCTAAAATGTAAAAAATATGATGAGTCTGTACTTGTACTTCATCATTCCATTCATATTTTTTGGATTTGCATATACAGGGTGACTTAAAAAAATTAATGAATGCGTAAATATATTTTATTTATTTAATCAGAAACTACAAAACCCAATGCTTTGAAATTATGAAGATGTTTTACAGTTATCATAGGCATGGTAAATTTTTAGTCAAAATATATTTCCTTGTCCCCCCCTTAAAAAATTGATGACGTCACCCCAAAATTTTGCTGAATAAATCCTTAAATGTGCAAAATATGATTAGTCTGTAGTTGTGATTTATTACTCCATGCATATTTTTTAGATTTGCATATACAGGGTGACTCAAAAAAATTAATGAATGCGTGAATCAGGAACTGCAAAACCGAATGCTTTGAAATCTTGGAGATGTTTTAAATTTATAAGCATGCTAAAATTTTGATCAAAGTGTATTTGCTCATCCCCCCTAAAAATTTGATGACGCCGCCGCAAAATTTTGGTAAAAAACTGTCTTAAATGTTTACAGAATGATGAGTCTATACTTGTGATTTATTACTGCTTTAATATTTTTTAGATTTGCTTATACGGGGTGTCTGAAAAAAATGAATGACTGAGTCAATTAATTTTATTGATTAAATCAAGAATTGCAAAACTGAATACTTTGAAATCTTGCAGACGTATTTGTCTTAAATTACAAGTTCTATACAGGATGTTCCTTTTATCTGTTTACGCCTGATAAGTTGTGCATAGGCAACATATTATGCACCTCAGAGACGACTTCGTCCAATTTAATTTTTTTTTCAATAAGCAATCATAGCAATCACAAAAAATTGGTCTAAAGAGTTTAGACAGTACTTCCCTCGCTGTCGGAAACTTGACGACTGCATGCCTATTGTGTTTTTTTTCTCATTACATTTTTGTAGTGGGAATTTAAAAAAAAATTGCGATGACGTCATCAACATTTTTGCAAGGACACGTATATCAGTTGGGATAGATGTAGTGTAATACTAAGAATAAAATTATTATATTCTCAAATTTTCGGGAAAATGAATTGGGTCGTTTGAATATTGATTTGTAATAATCAATAAAATAACGAAACAATTTACTCACGTATACCTACGTATCAGAGGCAACTGAAAATCGTGTATGTATAAACATTCTTAATTTAAGATGACAGGCGTAACAGCATACATGAGAGCCAAACAGAGAAACTGTAAACAAAACGACCGTCGGTTTTATTGCTTCGACTTCCGCTTATTATATAAAACATTGGGTTTTATTTTAATTCTTGACGGTGAAATTCACAATTGGTTGATTATAAACATGTCTATTTCACATTCGCGGAATCAAGTGAACGCATAAAACAAATGCAGGTCTGTAATGTTAAAGTCGATGTAAATAAGCGTGCTACCCTTATGTTTCAACCGAGTTTTTCCTTTAACAAATTTTGTGTCTACCAAATTGGGTTGGTTGGGGTGTAATACTAATAATAAGTGTTGCCTTTAATTTAATCAATAAAATAAATTGACTTCATTAATTTTTTTGAACCACCTCTTAAGAAAATCTAAAAAATATGAATGGAATGATAAATCACAAGTACAAACTCATCATATTTTTTGCATTTTAGATAGGATTTATTCAGCAAAATTTAAGGGTGACGTCATCAATTTTTTTAGGAGGGATGAACAAATACATTTTGAACAAAAGTTTACCATGCTTATAATAACTTTAAAATATTCCCAAGATTTCAAAGCATTCGGTTTTGTAATTCCTGATTAAATCGATAAAATAAATTCACGCTTTCATTAATTTTTTTGAGTCACCCTGCATATGCAAATCCAAAAATATGAATGGAGTGATAGATCACAAGTACAGACTGATCATATTTTGTACATTTTAGATATGATTTATTCGGCAAATTTTCGAGCTGACGTCATCAAGTTTTTGGAGGGGATAAGCAAATATATTTTGACTAAACATTTATTATGCTCTTTATAACCTTAAAACATCTGCAAGATGTCAGAGCATTCCGTTTTGTAGTTCCTGATTAAATCAATAAAATATATTTACGCATTCATTAATTTTTTTGAGTCACTCTGTATATGCAAATCCAAAAAATATGAATGGAGTGATAAATGACAAGTACAGGCTCATCATATTTTGTACATTTTAGATATGATTTATTCGGCAAACTTTCGAGCTGACGTCATCAAGTTTTTGGAGGGGATAAGCAAATATATTTTGACTAAACATTTATTATGCTCTTTATGACCTTAAAACATCTGCAAGATTTCAGAGCATTCGGTTTTGTAGTTCCTGATTAAATCAATAAAATATATTTACGCATTCATTAATTTTTTTGAGTCACCCTGTATATGCAAATCCAAAAAATATGAATGGAGTGATAGATCACAAGTACAGGCTCATCATCTTTTGTACATTTTAGATATGATTTATTCCACAAACTTTTGAGCTGACGTCATCAAGTTTTTGGAGGGGATAAGCAAATATTTTTTGACTAAAGATTTATGATGCTCTTTATAGCCTTAAAACATCTGCAACATTTCAAAGCATTCTGGTTAGCAGATTAAAAATTAAATTTCAAAATGTTGTTTTATAATTTTGATTTTTTTTCCAAAAATCTGGACGTTTCGGGTGAAAAGTCGATTCAGAGTTGTAAACTACATGTGTAGGACTATGTTATTTTATACAATTGAAAACCCATTTACTATGTACAATTTTGAAGTGACGTCATCGCATTAGTTGTGGGGATGATTAGACAAATTTTGGTTAGCGTTTTACCATCTACACGATATTCTTAATATAAGTACAAAATTTCACAACAATCGGTCGAGTACTTTCGGAGATTATCTGTCTAATAAAAATCCGGGACAACAGACGGACAGACGGACAGACGGACGGACAGACAGACGGAAATGGGAGACCTATTTCTTCGTCTTCTAGGGGTCATGAAAGATCGAGAAAACGTAAAAGTAAAGAGTCGGCCGACGGACTCGATTACAATACTTCCTTTGCTTACGCTCGGGAAGTAAAAAATGACAAAGATGTCAATGCCAAATAAAGACAAAATTGAAAAAATTAATAGTCACTTTATTTTAAAATACCCCGCTACAAAAATGTAATACGAAAAAAAACCATAATAGGCATGCAGTCGTCAGGTTTTCGACAGCGAGGGAAGTACTGTCTAAACTCTTTAGACCAATTTTTTTAACAAACTTTACATTTTGTTTTTATGGTTGCCTGTCAGTTGTGTCACTTTATGCAATAAAATGCCACCGGTGCGAAGAAATGTTAAATTTGAACAAATTGGGGCCTTTGACAGAGGCAGAATTGTGGGAATGCGAGAGGCTGGTTTGTCGTACCGTAAAATTGCATGAAGAATCGGTTCGAAATGATTCGACAATTTTACGAATATGCAGCGAATATGCAGAGGACGCGGTAAATGAGGGGCTGAGAGCACGTCGTAGGTTCAGTAACTGGTGGACGTATTTTCACTGTTACCCTCTGTTGCAATTTTTTTGAAAGGCCGTGTATTATAGTGCTTCCGAGGTTTACGATGCGTAAGCATAGCAAGTATGATATAATTAAAAGTGACATTGTAAGTCAAAGTAAATATGCATAAAAATAATAATAATAATAATAATAATAGTGCATTGGTTGCATAAAATTATCAAAAATAATGTACTGCAAAACGGTTAGAAAGTGCGTACTTTTTGTGGACAAGGTTGTACAAGTAGAAAGGAAAGTTTTGTTCATGGTGTCAATTTATCTAACATGATTTATTGAAACATCTAAACTATGATGTTTAAAACGAAGCATGAACATGAAAATTGGACCCACTATATATTCCACAAGCTCAGCAAAACTTTCAAAACAAATACAAGTTGTTTTTACATTTTAAAAATAAAACCTAAAGCAGTTTATGTTCACAACTTGCATGCGTCTTTTTCTGGAAAGTATTCTTCCACGTAGGAAACAAATTTCTTCAGAGGACAAAATTCGTCACATGCAGGTAACTTTAACAACTTCGGCTGAACCGAACTGTAATCTTGATAATAAATCTGCAAAACGTAGTATACTTAGTTATATTCAGTATAATAATGATGATCGCTAATACTTTAAACCCAGTAACGTTGTCAATTTTATGGAGCTCAAATAATATATAAGATCCATATGGTGGTATATGCGGTTCAAACACCTCCAATGTATGTAATAAGTGGGCAATGTTAAATTCGTGTCCAGAATAGAGATATATTTTTCTGTTTTTAAGCGGCATTTGGTTATCAACTTTGGCTTCGATGTTATCAACAATTTTCTTCAATAAAGTTCCTAAAATTGATAACTATGATTTAATTAATTTTTAACTTTAGTATTTACCAGAAGTGATTCTTCTCATTTCAGTAGTTGCAGTTTCAGCCTGATATCCTTTAATAGTAAGATCTTGGAGGGGTTGCGGGTAAACATTCTTCGTCCACTCTGGAAGAATTAAACCGTATTCTTGTTCTGTTGTTAAACATGAATACAGTAAAAACATATCCTGATAACTTTTTGCGTTTAAACCACTTTTTTCTGAAATATATTTAAAATCCTCGGAATGCTGTTGCAATTGTCGTTGTATTTTAGTCGAATTTTCATATTCTGAAGTGTATTGTGTATAACTGGGGCAAAGAATACCGAAAAACAACTAAAAGTGGCATTAATATAATTGACAAAATAAATATGTAACTAACCATGTCCTGCGTTAAAGGATTCGTGTGAAAAGGGATTGGCTGCCAGTTTAAATCAGTTTCCCACATTTGTTCCTTACTAGGTGGAAATAACCCCGCTAAAACTAACTGGAGGGACATTTTTGTTCTATTTCTATCTGAGCTCCAAGCTTCAACTATATCTGGGGTGTAAATTTCTCCTAAGAATTTATCATATCTTGTTCTCAATAATTTGCCAAGTCTGAATTCTCGTTGTTTGCCTTTCTGTAAAAAAGCAAATTAAAAGTGGATCATATGTAATACAAGGTTACTTACAAGAGTCAACTCGCCTAAACCGTAAGGATAGTATGTTTCATTAATATGAGGATCGTTTGGATACAAAGTTAAAGTATCCGTTGTTCTGTCGCCGTGTCGAAAAAGCTTAAATAATAGTAATAATAATATATCTATTTAAGCAATAATTAAATATCATATACTTACTACATGGACCAACTGTAAAGTCGAATCTAAACTATTCGTAAATCTCACATAATAAAGAAATATTAAATTTATTATAAAGAAATTTGGATGTCTAAGGTGACCAAACATTGCTAAGATACAACTGTAAGTGGCTCGCGCGAAAGAACCAGTTTAGAAGAAAGTACTTTTCGCTGGGGGATATAATTATAACATTTTTTTTTTAATCGATGTCAGTTCGAGGAATTTTCTTGCTAAGTTTATGACGAGGATGCGAATAACATTATAGATATGTTAATCCACGGCTTCACTATTTGATACACAATTATTTATGTTCAGATTTATAGTGCGGTTAAGAACAATTTATATTGACTATGACTAGTACAATAATGGCACTAGCGTTTGATTAACTAACACGACTAGCATTTTCTAAGCATTTGTTGCCAGGCTTTTACAATGAAAAACAAGGTCGCTCATAGTAAAAGTACAATTTTAACATGTCACTCATAAATTACAACCTCTAGATCCTTGTATTTTAATTAATAAATAAGCCAGACCACCATTATCGAATCAAATTTATATATGTATACACTTTATCACACTAGTTATTTATGTTATAATAATTAAATAATGCATAGCTTTATTGGACGCGCCCTTTTATGGTTGAGCGAGCTTGCTCGCGAGACTCATAAAGGGACAAGTACAATAAAAGGCATTATTTACGTGTGACATACATAACTTTATGTTTGACTCAACAAAATAATTTTTTTTTGCAACTTTTTCACCTCCGTTTTAAAATTGTTAATAATGTTTAGTAGGTGCTGCCGTGAATTGTGTTGCAATTCAAATTACTTTACAGTCATAAAGTGATAAATTATGGACAGTTGGCACCACTGGAGTCCAAAACACAATTTTTATTGTACTTGTAGAATAATGAGGAAGACTGTGGATAATATCATAATTCAAGTCATTATGGTTGAGTTAAACATAATAAAACGACATTGAATATATAAATGTTATGTACAAATTTTGTTCTCATTTCCGTTTCAGCGAATTTCTAACTTCTCACGGTTTTTGTAAAAGACATACTTTCTATTATTCTTTAATATTTTCTTCTCAAAAGTTAACACTGTTTTTTAAGACTACTTTTGAGTGACACGAACTTTAGAAAAATACAGCAAGATAATTTCTGAGAGCACTGTATATTTTTGAGGAAATTTTATTGTAACGTACTATTTCTCTTCACATCAGATTTAACAACTGACAATTCATTTAGGGAACAATGGTAAACACGGTTATTCAAAATCATAATTATTTAGTAAGGTAAATAAATGTTTCAAATATTATGCGAATATGCCAAATAACGTATGAGACGTTCAAGAATTAAAAAAAATCACCTCTAATTCAATAAAAATATTTATGACTATTTGACCAATTTGTACAAATATTTTGCCTTACCGAAAGGAGGTGATTTTTCAGAAAAGGTATGGATGGTGTTTGTTCTAAACTTAATCTCCTCGGTCTAATTTGTTTATTTATGAAAATAAGCTATTGAAATTAAAAGGGCATCCTGTTACATATCATGTAAAATGCATCTTTTGCATGATCTATTTGAGAACATTTTGAACCAAATTCATATACCGGGTGTCCCACGTAACACTTTCGGGCGCAATAACTCAGGTATAAATGTTACGTGGGACACCCGGTATATGTAATAGAACGTAAAAATAACTGAATCTGCCGAAATTCATGCGTAGATGTCAACCGATAGTACATTAAACAGTATCCATTTATCTGTTGATTGATTAATCAATCAATACTTTACTGGAGTTAAAAACTTACAAATCTAGTTTTCCACTGCATTAGGATATGTTTAAATTTATTTAAAATTTAAAAAACCGAAAAGTAAAAAAAGTATTTAGTGCGATTGTTATTTTACTACTGTTTTAATGCCAATGACGTCATTGTGGTTGTAATATGTATGTTTTAACATATTTTTTATTTGTACAATTTATATTCTGCTAGCATCGACATATACTGCGAACAAATAAATAAATGTATGATATTCCTTCAATTAAATTCAAATTATTTAATTTTTTATTTAAAAAGTACTTTATTGAATAATCTATAGATGTTATAATGTTCATTCTCGAAATACCGAAACAACAACCACATGATAAAAAAAAACTCATCTAGTAGACCGTACAATTTATTTTTAAAATTGGAGCTATTTGACCCTTTATTTGAGAGTTATTTGACCTGAAGAATGAACGCATTAGTGTTGCAAAAATCATTACTTTACGCCTCCGTTTGGGAAGTACAATTTGGTCTAAGTTTATTCAGACAGACCTTCCCTCGCCCTTGAAGTGCAGTGGAACAAATGCAACGTCGTAGGAAAGTTACAAAATTTTATCTTGTGAATTTTATTACTTCTCGAGCGTAAGCTAAAGTATTGCGATTGAGTCCAACGGGTGACTGACAACTTTCATGTTTCCTCGACGTTTCATGACCTCTAGAGTATGAAAAAGTAGGTTTCCCGCTTCTCTGTCTCTGTCATTCTGTACCGATTTGTTGTCACGCTAACCAAAATTTGGATAATCTACTAACAACGGAATGACGTCATCTCCAAATTTTACAATAGTAAATCTTATTTAAATTTTATAAAATAACATAAGTACTCCTGTAGTTGTCGTTTATGAATTCGTATTGAGTTTTTACGCTAGACATCCAAATTTGTGTAAAGAATCAAAATTGTACATATAACATTTTTATTTAACTTTGAAATTGTAAAACCGAATACATATTCTGAAATCTTACAAACATTTTAAAGGTATCGTAAGCATGGTAAATCGTTAATCAAAATTTATCCGTTTACCCCCTTCTAAAAAACTGATGAAGTCATCTCAAAATTTTTTCCAATACTACATTTTGTTATGAGGTCATCAACTTTAAGATATAATAGCAGTACCGTATACTCAAATTTTCGGGTAAAATAATAACTACACATGATCGTTTTCCGGGTTGGAACCGTGTTAATTGAGTTTTTGGGTTCAACGTTTCGCAGACTTTCGAAAGTGGCATCTTCAGGAGCAGGGTTAAGAATAAGGCAAAAGAGCACGGTAACTCAGTATGTCAACCATACCAGAGGAGAAACTCTTCTGGCGGGAAGAATGTGGTTGTGACCTATTTATAGAGACGTGGTGGGGAAACCGTCCTGGATAAGCTGATTGGCCGGCTCCGGGCGGCATGGAGAGAAGTAAACGAGCATTTGCATCCAGTGTGGGCTTCCAAATATTTGACAGATAATAACCATTGTCTCGGTTGAGATTATAAGGACATTTATGAATTTCAATAGCTTCACGGATTTTCCGGTTATTGAAATGTGGTGCTTTGGACAGAATTTTCAAACAGGATGATGTGACCGGTTTCGTGTTAGTGTTCAGCTACGGCAGAGTGAGTCAGAAGACCTGTTCTGAGACAACGTTTGTGTTCTTGAATTCGAATTTTTATGGACCGACCAGTTTCTCCTATATATTTTACACCACAAGAGCAGGGAATGCTGTATATTCCTCTACAGTCTAGAGCTTGGCGAGAATCTTTGACGGAAGGAAGAATTTGTGCAACTTTAGTTGCAGGTTTGAAGACTGTTTTGCCTTTTGAGTATTTTGGCCAGACGGTCGGTGACCTGAGGAATGAATGGTAAATATGCAGTCGATACGAGAACAGTTGGGCGATTTGAAGTATTGTCAGAGTTGGGATTAAGCCGACGTTGAATGGTTGACTTGATAGTGTGGTGGTCGTATCCATTTTGTTGAAGAGATGTTTGGAGATGTTCTAATTCTTTCTGGAGTTTGTCCGTTTGACAAATGGTAATGACTCGATGAATTAGGGAGTCAATGACAAACCGTTTTTGGGCGGGTGGTGATGAGATGTAGCGTGAAAATATCGATCGGTATGGGTAGGTTTCCGATAGACTGAATGACGAAGTAGACCTTCGGGTAACCTGGTTACCATAACATCAAGAAAAGGAAGAAAATTGTTGGTTTCCACTTCCATGGTAAACTGAATGTCGGGGTGTTGACTGTTGAGATGGTGGTGAAAGACTGAAAGGGCGTTTTGACCATAGGACCATATACCCAATGTGTCGTCCATCTAGCGGAACCAGACTTTGAGTTTGAGTTGGGCGGATTCAGTGGCTGTGTCTTCAAAAGCTTCCATGAAAATATTAGCGACGACTGGTGGGAGTACCAGAGATTTGTTTGTAGAATTGTCCTTGGAAGGTAAAATATGTGGAGGTTAGATATTATTTCTCCACCAAGAAGTGTAGGTTGTCCGTCAATGGAAAGCAATTCATGGATTAATGTTAAGCACTCGGCTACGAGGACTTTTCTGAATAAAGATGTTACGTCGAAATTCGGTGTCAAGAGAGATTTCGGAGATCAGTTGGACAAAATGTGAGGAGTTAAGAATATATGAGGAGGTTTTCCGGTATATTTTTTCAGAATACGGGCGAGATATTGGGCTGTATTATAAGTGGGAGACTGACGACGGGTCTGAGAGGGTAATTGTTTTGGAGAATTTTGGGGAGACCGTATATACGTCGTGGTTTGCAGTTTCGGGGTATTAGACGTTTGAATACATCGGTAGGGAAGTCACCCGATCTCAAAAGAGTTGTGATCTCACGTTCAATGTGGGAAGTTGGGTCGCGAGGAAGAATAGAATAGGAACCGTCTTCTAACAAGGAGTGCATTTTGTCGACGTGTTTTGTGCAGAATGACTGTGGCATTGCCTTTTTCCGCGAGCAGGATGACTAGATCAGTATTAGTTTTAAGAGAAGTGAGAGCAGTCCTTTCTTCTTTGGACAGATTGGGTTTTGGAGGACGCGCTAAGTGCAGGATTTTGGCTGTCTCGAAGTGAATAGAGTCTGCGGTTTTTCTTGGCAGATTTCTAATGAAAATTTCGACAGCACTAATAATTTCCTTAGTTGGAATTGTCTTAGGAGCGATGGCAAAATTAAGACCTTTTGACAAAAGTGTGTTCTCTGATTCGGAAAGGGGGTAACAAATTGACGACCGTTTTAGTAGCAGGTTGTGTACGATTTTTTGGTTTTGGAGCAAGGGACTGACTTGTTTCTTTTGGTCTAGAGTTTTTTGAGATTGGATGTAGGTACTTCGATCAAAGAAACCAGTGGAAGGGGGATATAGAAGTTCTAAATGAAGTTTAAGGAGGTCTCTGGACACGAGATCAAGATCTTGTCTAGTGGCACAAATGCGTTCGCGTAGGAGGGACATGCTGGCTTTGGTCAGAATTTTTCTTGATGAGAAAGGGGAAAACTGGTCTTTGAGTTTTAGAAATTTCGGGATTATGTTGTGGTCACGACAGCGAGAAAGAAAGGTGAGTAAAGATAGGAGTTTTGCCATTTTCTGACAGAGTTTGGAGAAAAGAAGAGTTTGATTGGAGATATCCTCCCCGTAGAGGTTTTGGAAATAATTTCGGAGGCTTCCACGGTCGGAATCAATACATGATCGTTTTCCGGGTTGGAACCGTGTTAATTGAGTTTTTGGGCTCAACGTATGGTATGGTTGACGTACTGAGTTACCGTGCTCTTTTGCCTAATTCTTAACCCTGTTCCTGAAGATGCCACTTACGAAAGTGTACGAAACGTAGAGTCCAAAAATCAATTAGCACGGTTTCCAACCCGGAAAACGATCACATATTGATTCCGATCGTGAAGCCTCCGAAAAATAATAACTATTTGCGTAACCAGTTATGAAAAGCTTCCTTTTGTGTAATGAGTGCAAATTTTACGAAATGAACGAAGTGAGTTTTATAAATGCAAACGAGTTACATAAAAGGAGACTTTTATAACGCGTTTAGGTTCAAGATATTTCCAATTTTTGTTATTAACAGATTAATTTTAGTTTTATAAAAGCTCCAATATCTCTTGTTGTGGCGTATAGTATTTTATCAAATTATATAAGAGTTCCACTATCGACATTGCTGTTCAAACGGGTATTAGAGGAACTAATAAGAAACAATAAAATTATGGAACACTACATACAAAAAGTCATTATTTTCTAACTCATGAATTCACACAAACCAAGTGAGCACTCATTTGCTATTATCAATTGAATTTCAGTCCGCTTTTGTAATATTTTTCCCAACGCGGATAAACAAAAAGTACAGTATCGAGTTACATAAAGTTACCGGTTATGAAATATTAGCCATTTCAAAACGTCAAAGAGTTTTGAAAAATGTCACTTTTCATGTCAAAATTACAAAAAATAAACTGTCTCATTAATGATTTTTTTTTAATCAATCACCCTGTATAAGTAATTCTAAAAACATTAATGCCATGAGAAACCACAAAATATACATTAATAATATTTTGGATGTTTTCGATAGAATTTGTTGAGCAAAATTTTGAACGACTGTATCAATTTTTTGGAGGGTTGTAAAAGAATGAATTATGGCTAACGATTAAAATAACCTCAAAACGTTTGTAAGATTTCAGAACATTCAGTTTTACAGTTTCAAATTTAAATTGAAAAATGTTATATGATTTTGATTTTTTTTCACACATTTGGATGCCTAAGGTAAAAATTAAACACGGATTCATAAACCGCAAGTGTAGGAGTATCATATTTTATAAAATTTAAATAATATTTATTATTGTAAATTTTGGAGTGGAGTCATCTCATTGTTAACGCGAGTGATCAGATAAGTTTTGGTTAGCGCGTTACCATTTATACGATATTCTTAACATACGTATAAAATTTGCAGTAGTTTTCGAGATTATTTGTCTGATAAAAATTGGCACAGACAAACGGCAAATAACTGACAAATGGAAACGCGAGATCTACTTTTTCGTACTCTAGTGGTCTTGAAACTTCGAGAAAACTTGCAAGTAGCCATTGGGAAGTAAAAAAACAAGTTTCTTGTAAGAAGCAAATTTTTTTCAGATTAGTGTTTGAACATTTCCTCAAAGCTTTTGCGGTGGTCGAACTCGAAGTTACTTTCCTCTTTCAGCAAATCACATACTAATGGTATATCTTAGTTTTTAAAAGACTGTATTTTATAGGTCAAACAATTTTAGAAACTTTTTACTTCCCGAGCGTAAGCGAAAGAAGTATTGTAAGCGAGTCCGTCGGCCGACTTTCCACTTTTACGTTTCCTCGACCTTTTATGACCCCTAGAGTACGAAGAAATAGGTCTCCCGTTTCCGGCTGTCTGTCCGTCTGTTTATCTGACTGTCTGTGTTCCATGTGTCTGTCTGTCCGTCCGTCTGTCTGGCGTCCCGGTTTTTATTAGACAGATAATCTCCGAAAGTACGGGGTCGATTCTTGTAAAATTTTGTATTTGTATTAGGAATATGATGTAGATGGTAAAATGCTAACCAACATTTGTCCCCACCAATAATGTGATGACGTCACTTCAAAATTATACATAGTAAATGGGTTTCAAATTGTTTAAAATAACCTAATCCTACACATGTAGTTAATGAGTCCGTGTTGAGCTTTTACCCCAAACGTCCAGATTTTTGGAAAAAAAGATCAAAAATATAAAACAACATTTTGCAATTTAATTTTGAATCTGACAAACCGAATGCTTTGAAATCTTGCAGATGTTTTAAAGTTATGAAGAGCATAATACATTTTTAGTCAAAATATATTTGCTTATCTTCTCCAAAAAATTGATGACGTCAGCTCAAAATTTTGCCGTATAAATCCTAACTAAAATGCGCGAAATATGCTGGGTAATATTAATAAAGAGTAGTATAAGCTCATGCTGTTAGTACTTACTTTATCAGTATAAGCACTTACTTATTGTAATTACAAAAACCGCAACAATTGAAGTATGTTCTTACGAGTATATTAATAAAAGTAAGCATTTACTTTTAGCGAACAGTATATACTTACAACTTTATCAGTCTACCCTTGGTCATGCTAATCAAAGGTTATATGGTATTAACAACTGCAAATCATCATTAACAAATGTTCGTTGGAGTTCGTACGCCAAAAATGTGTATATAAACTGAGACGCGAAAATCCATCCGATCAAGAACTTATACAAATATATTGATTTACCGCACCAAATATGGAATGGTTACCGGAACATTTTCTAGAGGACAATGGTCAAACTCTTGGTGGAACATTACGTTCAGTGACCAAAATGAACTTTTTTTCAAATATACAGCTGATGCGGGTAAACATTTAAACACAAAGTACAATATGACATTACATACTACTGTGTTCTGCATCGAAAAGTCGTCGATGTTGTCTTCATGTATGTATAATTCTAGTACGTATCCTCAAAAGTTAGTGTTAGTACGTTTAATGCAAACTTTTTTTTTAGTGCAAATTCTAATTCGGTATCTTTTTTTTGTAGCATCCAAATCACAAACGAATTCAACATCTTTTTTAATGCTGACACATATGTATTCTGCAACTGCAGAAATTAAATAATAACTAAATTTTGTACGCATTATCGCAGATTGTAGATCAAAAAAACAGACCCGTATCAAATGAAGAAAATGTTGGGAATACAATACAGTTATTTTTAGTATTACACTGCACTAATCCAAGTTGATATACGTGTCCTTCCAAAAATGTTGATGACGTCATCACAAAATTGTGTGAAGAAAAAAACTCAACTCGAATATGTTTCACTGTACGTCAGGAGCGAGGGAAGTAAAATTATAAATCACGGGCCTTCGTTCAAAGTTTAGCTGCCGCCAATTATCAAAGTGGGTCATAGTTTTACCACTTTGTAATGAATTTACCTGAAGTACGTGTGAAGGTCATGTAGATAATAGAAAACTAACTTTGTTGACTTTCAACTTCATGAAATTACTTGTTCTCGGTTTATATCTACGCAACTTTCAAAATTTCCCACGTCATCTGTCGTCATAGATTGGAGAGAATCTTCACCAGGCATTTTTTTATTCGAGCATTTTTTAATGACATAAAAATTTTAATATTATTTTAAAAAATTGTGCGAAGAATAACCATGTAGAATTTTACATTAACATTTTTAGAACACAAATCTGAAAATTTAAATGTAATTCTAAAACAGTTTGTAGTGAATTTGTTGCCATAAATTATATACGTTATAAATTATAACGAATCCGTCAGATTTTATTTAATAGGGACACGATGTAGGAAACGAAGAAGAAATATAAATCACAATTCACGTTATTCTAGCAAAAAATAGTGTGGTTATTTAATTATAATTTATTTTAAATATAAATAACATGTACGAGCAATATGTCAAACAAAGAAAAAGAGAGCTTGCGTTTTCAACGCCAACTTGATGACGTTCTTGATGAGCATACCTTATGCTGAAACACTACTTTACGAGAAATAATTTAACCATTTAACAGCGACTTTAATTTAAACAGATATGCAAGAGTAGTTTTTGTGTTTATTTTTTCGTTTTAATGAGTCTCTATCTCATAAAACAAAGTACAAAGTTAGCAGTAAACATCCTCATTAATATACATTGCTTTAAATACCTTGAACAAAATGACGTTATTTTTCAAAATTGGGTTTAAGTAAAGATGGCAGTCAAAAAGTGCCTACTTTCATCCACAAACATTGTCGTCTGGAAAATATTTTTCAACCAAAGAAGTAAATTTATCCAGTGGACAAAATTGCTCACACCCAGATATTGTGAGTAAGCCAGTTCCGATAGATTTGTAGTTTTCATAAAACATCTGCAACGAAGTGATAAAATAATCCAAATGTGTATATTTTACCATTACCTTGATTCCGTATTCCCCATTTATTTTATGAATTTCCAATAAGATATGGGATCCATAAGGCGGTACATGCGGTTTAAAAACACCAAAGGTATTAAGTATAAACGCCACATTCATTTCGTGGCCTGAGTACAAATAAAGTTTCTTGTTTTCTTGTTTTTTAATTTTTGCCTGAGTATCCTTTAAAATTTTTTGCAACAAATACCCTGAAAGATCAAAATTATTGCCTTTCCAATTTTGTGAAAATCTGGCCAACCTGCTCCTATCTGTTTTAGTTTGGTAGTTCCTGTAATTACTAAATATGTTTCTGATGCTAACTTCTGCAGAGGTTGTGGATAAATCTGTGACGTCCATTTTGGCAGTTTTCTCCCCGTTTCTTTCTATAAAAAAAAAACAGTTATTTGTGACTTCAAAATCTTCGTTATTAGACCTCGGTTTCTAAGGTGATGTATAAGATAAAAGCGTGGAATATATTAGTGGAATTCCAGCCAGCATTTTCAGAGATATGCTTTAAAACGTTAACATATTTATTGCTTATTTTTTGGGCTTGTTCACTTTTCAAATTTTCTTTTACCAATATTAAAAAATTAGGACACGCGGTGAAAAAGCCAAGAACCTAAAAAATATACGAAATGTTTCAGTTTGGTCAAATTTAACTAGTAATTCGATTCTAAAGTCGACAATCTCTTTAAAACTATTCTGACCTTATCAGTTGCAGTTGGTTCATAAGTGTAGGGAATAGGTTGCCAGATTTGCAATAGATCGCAGTTTTGTCGTCCTGTAGGAGGAAATAATCCTGCCAAAACAAGTAAAAGTGACATTTGTGTTCTACTAAAGTTTGTACTTCTTGCGTCTAAAAGACCTGGCGTGTATAAATCCCCAAGAAATTTGTTGTATCGTTTACGAAGTGATTTGCCTACAGAGTATTCACGTCTTTTACCTCGCTGTGGATTAATAGTTTTCCATTATAGATAGATATATACATCATCATTTTAGATACCTACATCCGTTAGCTCACCAGATCCAGTTGGAAAATAACTATCATTTTTGTAAGGATCGTTCGGATAACGTCCGAATTCGTCAGGTGTCCTGTCTCCATGTCTAAATACCTTTAATTAGAAAATTCATAACAAGTTGAATAAATTTAAAAATCAGTTTATTCTTCAAACTTACTGCGTGTACTAAAATCAATGTTTCTGAAGTTCCATTTTCTCGAGTGCATTCTATTAGGCTAGCGAGTATTACGAAAAGTAATAATAAGACCCAACTTTTAACAGACATTTTTATAAGTTTAAACAAAACTTGACTATACGGGGAAGAACCTGAGTCTAATATACTGTTTTTTCAGAATATTTGAATGCATAAACGTGTGAATTCATTAAAATTCTACGAATGCAATATACTTACCATTATCGTCCTATAGGACGCCATATGTAAATCAGGCGGATAATTTGTTAGTAAAATTGTTGAAATATTGTAATGTAATGAAATACACGACCGACAGATTAAAGCCCACATTAAGCATTTTAAATAGTCATTATAATTTAGCCTTATCAATTATCAAAATCGTGGTTGACGTTTTAGTTTAGTTTCTGTGATAGTCTATTGAAGTTGTTCTCTTTCGTCCCTACGATTAACGATTTGATTGGCATAAACTTTTTTTGCTGAAGGTGTCAAGATTTACACTGAAAGTAAAAGCCTGAATGATTGCTTTTATTTATAGCAAAATATCAACCTTTCGTTAATTGGTGTCACATAAATAATAGTACGTACCCACCTACTCTACGAAACAACAAACTTTTAGTTATGAACACTGATACATTGTCCTCTCTAGTTAGTGGCACAATAGACTTAGGGATTGTCTTTGACCACGAACCCAACTTTAGTAAGCATATTTAACTCAATAATAAGAATTGTAGGTAGCATTAAATTAGAATTTAGCTCAATTATATTATTTGGTACCCGATATTGAAATAAACAGCTATCTGACGCATTTATTAGATGATTGCTATCCGCTGCGTGGTAGTGATCACACATTTTTTTTTACGATTCGATGTACTGCCTCCCAAAATAGACGTGTTGTAGGGACTGTTAAGTGTTCGTATGACACCACACCATGAGACCAATTTTGTCGAAAATCAATTTTCATATTCCAAAGCTTAATTTTAGAAAAATTTTTTTATTTTGTTGTGATCAAGCTTGAACGAACCTTAAATGTAACAGTCCATAGTTTACACTCTGCAACAATGGATTAATTAATGAATGTCACGTGTCATGACGTTATTTTATTTTTGCCCCATTTTATAGCGTCCTCGATTCTATTATTAATTACGGCAGCAATTTATAATAAGTGATTTGTATTTGTATTTTATATTTCGTTTTTATTTAATGTTTTCACATTTGAGTATCCAATTCTCTATTTCTGATTTAATTACTAGTTCACCCTTTATTGTATAAATTGACATTGTTATTTGTTATTTTGAATTTCATTTTTACGTTTTCGTAGTCACTCCCTGAATAATTTATTAGCTTACTCTTTATTAAATATTTATAGACCCTAGAATTATTTTTCTTTTCTTGTCAATGCATCACTTTATTTTCTTGTATTTGGGTGTGCTTCACTTACTGAAAAATTTATTGGTATTATAATATGTATATATTTAGTATTAGCATGAATAATAAATTTAAAAGTTTAATGCAAACAATTTATAACAAGTCTATCATAAGTGTCAGATTCTAAGAGGACGATTCCTTCAGTCAATTACTTGTTTTTCGATTGAGAAGTTACCTACAGTATTATATTATAGAAATGTAGTTAATTACAAGTGTATTAATATAATTTACGTAGTTTTATTTTTAGTTTCCAACGGTTACAGCTAATCAAAACCTAAGTACCCACAAAAATTGAAGAAAAAAAATTGGTCGAAGGTTATTTTCATCGCCTATGAAATACAGTACGATTTACCCAACGTTTTCGAAAATGCATAAAATTTTATTTTGTCAAATTACAATAGAGATACGAGTATAGTAAAGTAAAGGTAGGTAAGCTATTCTAGTTTCTAGTGAACTTTTCCATTATAAAATTTTCTTTTGTTGTTTCTTGTTGATTATAAAATAAAGTGTGTGTACTTTATTTCACTCAACTTTAATTTTTTTGTGTTAATAAATTTTATTTTTCTATGAACTGAAAATGAAATAAATATCTAACTATTGTATATCGTTGTAATCGCAATTTAATGCTTTATCAAATCCGTTAAAAATATACGTTGTAATTTAAACAATAATAGCTTATATATTTCCAATAATAATATACTAAATTAAGATTTCCCCTTCAAACTAAAAACAACAATTTCAATATCTCTGGCCGTTTTCAAGATATAAGGCCGTGAAGTTTTAAATGGAACACTCTGTATACACATTTATTTACTTCAACAAGTATTTTTATTTTTATATAACAACAGTATATACATAGTTTGTGAGTAAAGCCAGCTTATCAATGACAGACATTCATGGCCTCCTTGATAATTAAAGTCGGCTTGTTGACAAACAAAAACAAAACTATTTTCTGCAGTTAATTGGCCTGACACTACTATACAGTGCGTCTTTTTTAAAAGTGCCCATAGAGATTCCCATGTTAAATTTTAGACCCCATGTTAAGTTTTGTTAGGGTGAAAACCCAGAGATGATTTTTGCGGAGAAAATAGCCTTAGGGTTCTACTTTAATTTTCACTACCACTTTTTGCAGTAATTTGTTAATTTGTGCTTTAAAAAATAAAAATTATTTTGATTAAAAAACATAGGTAAGCAAGTGCACGTTTACTTCTTTTCTGGTAGTTGGTAGCTCTTAGAGATGTTCTTGATAGTATCTAGTGTGAGGGTTGGTAGCGAAGGTTACTTGGTTGGTAGAGGGTAGGTGACGCACCACTGTTCCTTTGGTTTGGTGAGTGAAAACATGGTGAAAACACGCGGTACTTAGCTAGGTTAAGTTTAGTTGGTTTGGTAGTTAATAAAAAGGGAGACCTTTTGTTTAACGAAACTTAATCGTAACGACGACGACGCCACAGTTTCCCCAACACGCGTATCTATTTTTTGCGGCTTTCGAAACGGAAATATGCGAATTTTCGACCGACGTTAACACGTGTTGTAAATATGTTTTGTTGTTTGTAAATTCACAGTTCATGTTAGGATTTTAATCGTTAACTAAGTCTAACACAATGTAACGGTCCTGAGATTATTTAGATGGAGCATTAGCTAGGAGATTTCATGAAATTCGCTTAGTCAGGACTTTGTTCATCTAATTATGAATAAGGTTCCTCACACAATATTGCTCATAGTTCATTTACGGCAGTTAAATCATTCTAACGTTATCCCACTCTGGGAAATAGACCATGAAAGTACGGTAGAATTCATAGTATGGTGCACTGAGGTACGGGGGACTATTTTAGGCAGTTATCATCGCTGTTATCATTGTTATCATCATCTTATCATCACCGAGACATGTTTTCTCGCAACGTGGAAAATTACATCACCGAGGAGCTTTCCTCACAGCGTCAGATGTTTTTGTGTTTATTTATCATGTGTTTTGTTTGGGATAAGCTGGGGACAGTGCACGATATAAACTCTCAAAGCTAATGGTTTTAAGTAACCAATCACTTGGATCAAGGCATCATTTAACATAATGTAAATTCTTTGTTTGAGCCGTCAATAAAGTGTGGCATAATTTAATATCAGGTAAATTATTTGTTTGAATCCTTGATAAAGTGTGGTATAATTTAACATAATGTAAATTCTTTGTTTGAATCGTTGATAAAGTGTGGCATAAATGAACATCTGATAAATTCTTTGTTCTGGCAGCGTCCATGTTGAAAGTGTATTTTCAAACCGAGCACATGTTTGAACTGTAAAATCTTATTGAACAGATTAACAACATTGTTAGTCATGTGGAACGTGCATTTTATTCCTTTGATTTAGACCATTATTTGCACAGCGCAACAGGATTGATCGCATTTCGGGGAGACATATTTTTGACATATTTTTTTTAAACGAGGCATTCATCTGCGCCATTTTGAACCTCTAGATTCCCTGCTATGTTTTTTTTTGTGTTTATTTAAGGGAATGTAAAACGATGGCCCACAATGCCGCTGAATAACTTCACTCTTAAAAATTAACCAATAACTCGAATGGTCATAAAATATTAACCTCATGTAAATGTGTTAGCTTTGCATTTTTTCACCCCATACAGTTTTTCTCTATGTCACAATTTTAACTTCAATAATTTTCTTTGTTGTACCTATAATTTAAATTGAACGTAAATTTTCATGCTCGCAGTTCCTAATCTCACGCCATCTTTTATCTGCACTAGTTTTATATCACACCAGATTTTTTTTGTTTTTATAAATCTTTGCTAGTTTTTTGTTCCCTAAATATTTTGTTGATTAATGTTTCCATCATATAAATTGTCCCATGTCCAATCTTAATCTCAGATAAGAATTCTTTGTCGTTTAAAAATTTCACGATAGAGTAAGTGGCGAGTTTAAATGTTGTTAATTGATTGCTCTTTCTGAAACTTTAACACTTTTTCAGTTGTAGTTTAATATCAGAGTCATAGAAATTTAACATTTAAATGGAACTGAGGTTACATAACACAGAGACACGTAGCGTAAACGGCGGTGGAAGAACAGCCAGGACCAGGAGCCCCAAACTCCGCAACAAGTTGGGGGCGTTGGCCCCCAATGGGTAATTCTACTGTGCTCTAGAATAAAATTGATATTCACGTTCGCCACACTCTTAGAGCGCTCTGATGCCGCTGTCGCTACATACAATTTCATTAAACTTTTGTTCTCTTATTGACTGCCATAATTTAAATTTTCCGCCACACGCTCGTTATAACTTGTGTAATTGCATCCAGTTGCTTTAATTCAGATTTTTCTTTGTTTTATTAAATTTGTGATATTCAAATATTTGCATTGATTCAGAATGTTTAATTTGATTTCATTTAAAGTTTGGAAAGTTTTTTTTTTGTAGCTGAGCACTAAGAAGGTCTTCAACCTGTGCAATTTAGTCGCAGCTTTTTTTTTTTATCAGTGGAGGAATAAATAATTTTGTGTCCTCCATATATTTTGTGTTTTATTTGGCGGTGCTTTTCCAACCGTGAGGTCCACCACTTGCATCTGAACGCATTCCGCCACAAAAAAAACAAACACAACGTAGGATTCCAGTTTGTTAGACGGTCACAGCCAAGGCCAAATTGTTGAATTTTTCGCGGGCTTTCAAATTTTTTTATTTTATTGTTATCAAGTTATCACAATGTTCATATTTATTTTCTCTAGACTTTCATTGTAGTTATAGTCTCAAATTTTCATTAATTGTGTTCTCGTCTCTTCCAATAAACAAATAAATTTAATAAAAAATTCTAATTTGTTTCTTATGGAGACAGCACACTTTTAAAATAACTTTTAATTTTATATTTTTTATTCGCTAACACTGCAGTTAAATGTCAACGGACTTAAAAAGTGGCATTTATTTGTTTATGTTTTTATTTATGCGGTAGTGCTAGGCGTGCTACCAATATTCAAATAAAAAATCGTTCAATATTTTATTAAAACTTGGACGAATTCACGACGAGTCAACACACAGGTTAGCAAAAAACACAAAAATTACGGAAATTTTATTTGCTTTTTAATTTTTTGTTTCTCATAATCTTCTAATATATGAAATTCTCGTGTAACTGTTTGTAACCAAACTCCTCCGAAACGGCTTGACCGATTTTTATGAAATTTTTGTGTATATTCGGTAGGTCTGAGAATAGGTCGTAAACTATTTTTTACACTCCTAAGTGATAAGGG